AGGAGGAGCGGGAGGAAGAAGGGAAGGAGATTGTGAGGAAGACTAAGAGGAGGGATAAGCGGAGCCAGCCAGGAAGAAAACAAAAGAAGAATAAGAAAAAGTGTAACCCCGGGAAAAAGAGGGCGATAAGGCAAATAGCATAAAGGAGTGGAGCTGTGAGCTTGGTTACCTTGGGTAGGTGGATAGGCCTGAAAACCGACGCTCGGCTGACCGGCGTGGCCTGTGGGAGGAGGTGGACGGGCTGGCTGTTTGGCAAAGACTGGAGGATTTTGACTAAAGACCTGACGCAGGAGGTGAAGAAGCTGGACAGTGTTGGATTGTGGCTGGAAGAGAACAAACAGGAAGGTGTGTGTGTGTATTATGAAAACATAAGCAGACACAACCTGCTCGTTCCGTTTCAACCCGGACTGCTAAACAAGGGCTCTTGGACACTATTGAGTGGCGACAGGCAATCAACACCGAATGACAAGAATACCACGAAAGGGCGGGACCTGCCTGGTAACCTAGCTGTGCGCGACTTGGCGCACCCAGGACAGGACAGAAAGTGCAATGATCTTCAGGGAAAGCTGCCTGCAAAGCAAATAATCTCTTGGCTTTGTTGACAGAACATTTGCGAACCATGAAAGGTGCATTATTAACAAGGCATGATTAGCCATCAAATTAGAACAACAAATTATGCTACTTAATCAAAAATCAATAAAAGAAGTGCACACTACTCAAGTAGTCTTTTTTTACCAACTGCGGTTTCGCGGGCGCTAGAAACGGCCAACATCCTGGTTTCTCAGAAAATTATGCCAGTAAAGACAGATATTACAACCCCGAGTAAGTAATTCTGACTATTCTGCAGGCGAAGGTGGCGAGGGGGGGTTGGTAGATTCGGCTTAGTCGCGAAAAAACTCAGCGGCCTCAGTGGGATGCGAACCCACGCCAGAAAGGAGGGGCTTTATTACCACCAACGCTCTACCCAACTGAGCTACGATGCCTTCACCGGGAGCCGTGATTTTAATCACACTTGGGTCAATTAACCCGCCCAGCCTGCTGCAACATATGGAATTTCCCAACTTTGATACAGTAAGCCGACAGCACAGGAAGCATCTCGTAAGCAATCAATCTAGAATCCACCAGATGACTACCAGGCACAAGTAATAAAGTAACTTTCGGTAATTTTATTCTGCCCGTAACACTAGCCGCGAGAGCGAATTCCAAAGCACAGTGGGACGAATGAGTCGTGCAATCGATCGGTGAGCGTCCTCCACCATTATATATAATATGCATATATTTATCAAGGTAGTTATTCGAGAAATGATTAATTGTATAACTTGGAGCTAAGTTTTGTGCACACGAATTTTTATAGTCATTTTCGGGACGTCTGTGGTATTACCATAT